TGTTTTTTGAGATGGAGCCTCACTCTGTCGCCCAGACTGGAGTGCAGTGATGCAATCTTGGCTCACTGCAACCTCTACTTCCTCGGTTCAAGCAATCTTCTGCCTTAGCCTCCTGAGTAACTGAGACTACAGGCATGCACCACGAAGCTCCGCTATTTTTTTTTTTTTTTTAGTAGAAACGGGGTTTCACCATGTTGGCCAGGCGGGTCTCGAACTCCTGACCTCAAGTGATCCTTCCATCTCAGCCTCCCAAAGTGCTGAGATAACAGGTGTGAACCACCATGCCCAGCCCTGAGTTTTTAAAATCTATTTCAATCAAAGTTGACAAATTATTTTGGTGTCATCTAGCCTTAGCTTGGTAATTTACAGAGTGTGATTCCTTTATGCTTCTAAATTAAAATCTGTGAAGATTTTGGGGGAGTGCCCTGAAAGCTAAATCTTTGCTTCTTGAGGTAATGCTAAAGCTATTTCTAAAGATGGAAGGCAATGCTTCCATGTGCCTACATGGTCCGGGGCAACAGTTCCCAAAGCATTGACTAAGATCGGGAAAAACCTCACTGTTGCCACAGGCCTCTTTCCATCACCACCATGAGACAGACTTAGCAAGAAGCAGAATCATCAGAGTCCCTGGCAGGGAGAGGGGAGGAAGACAACTCATCTTCTCATGAGAAGCAGTGGAGGCAAAGTGGGGTTTGTGTGCAGCCAAAGCAGCCATGTGCAAACCCAGCACGCAGCTCAGAGCCCTAGGTGAGCAGTTGGCATCAGAGATTCCAGACTCCAGCAGCCACTCACAGGATGATTTGTGAGTGGACGTGTTTTAACCTCTTGGAGCCTCAGCTTTGTCCTTTGTAAAACAGAAATGACAATGACAATAAAGATAGTAATAACACCATTTGTAAACTAAAAATAAAGAAACTAAAAAATAAATAAACACAGGCAGACTTTTTGGTTTTGTGCAAGGATACGTCGGGACCCATGGCTGCTGCGCTCCCTGAGGTCAAGGACTGAGCTGCGCACTGGAGAAATGGCCGTTCCCCAGCCTGGCTCTGCTGCTCTCGGGTCTTGGACATGGGTTAGTTTGTCACAGGTTGAACCTTCTGAGCATCTCCTGCAGAGACAGCCCCTTCTGAAGCTCAGCAGTTCCAAAATCAGCTCCCTGACACCCCCAAAGCCACATGTTTTCAGTGAGGGATGGAGAGTGGAGTCGACAGGGCCATGTGTGATGAGGTGCAACTGGGCAGATACCCAGATTCCATGGGGCATGCCTTCCACACTGCACAGCCTTCATGCTGCATGCCATTCATACTGCACACCCTCCCCACTGCACAGCTTCCACGCTGCATGTCATTCATACTGCACGTGCTTCCCCCCGGACATCCTCCACACTGCACAGCCTCTATGCTGCATGTCCTCCCCCTGCACATCCTCTCCACTGCATTCTCTCCATGTTGCACGTGCTCCATGTTGCACATCCTCCCACCTGGACATCCTCCCCACTGCACGTCCTCCCCCCTGCACATCCTCCCCACTGCGGGTCCTTACCCCTGTGCATCCTCCCTTCTGCAGGTCCTCACCCCTGCAAGTCCTCCCCACTGCATAGCCTCCTCCCTTCACGTCCTCCCCACTGCATGTCCTTTCACCTGTATGTCCTCCCCACTGCACGTCCTCCCACCTGCACGTCCTCCCACCTGCACGTCCTCCCTGCTGTACATCCTCCCTGCCGCACATCCCGCTGCACAGTCTCCATATTGCATGTACATCCTCCCCGCTTCATGGCCTCCCTCCTTCACATCCTCCACACTACATGGCCTCCCTCCTTTATGTCCTCCCCCCTGTACATCCTTCCCACTGCATGTCCTCCCCCTTCACATCCTCCCTGCTGCACTCTCTTCCCACTGCACTTCCTTCGCATTACAAGTCCTCCCTGCTGCACGTCCACCCGCTGCACATCCTCCCCTCTGCACGTCCTCCCCACTACACCTCCTCCCCCTTTCACATACTTCCCACTGCACGGCTTCCCCCCTTCACATCCTCCCCATTGCACGTCCTCCCCCATGCATGCTCTCCACCCTGCACAGCCTCCCCCCTACATGGCCTCCCCTTGCATGACCTCTCCCCGCATGACCTCCCCCCGCATGTCCTCCCCTCACATGTCCTCCCCTCTGCATGTCCTCCCCGCTGCACATCCTCCTCCCTGCACGTCCTCCCCACTCCACGTCCTCCCCCTGCATGTCATCCCCCCACACGTCCTCCCCACTTCATGTCCTCCCCACTGCATGTTCTCCCTGCTACACATCCTTCCCCCTGCACATCCTCACCCCTTTACGTCCTCACCCCTTTACGTCCTCACCCCTGCACGTCCTCACCCCTGCACATCCTCCCCTCTGCACATCCTCCACGCGGCACACCCTCCCCACTGCTTATCCTTCCCACCCACCACTCGTCCTTCTTACAGATTCCAGACTCCAGCACCCGAGGCTGGGAAGTGAGCATCTCCGCCTGGACAGCCTGGGGCCTCACAACTCCCCCATGAATTATGCATCCCTGTGGGCTGTTCCGCTTTTCTTCCCCCTTAGCCATAATGATGGCAATTTTCATATCCCCTTACTGTTCAGAGACCATATGGGGGCCAATGTGCAGAATAAAGAGAAGAGAAATCTCACAAGCATGGCTCTGTGGACAGAGGCTTTGCAGCCCCAGACACATGAAGCAGCCACCACAGTAGATGCAGTGAGGGGCGAGGCCAGGAGCTGGCCCTGTAGCCTGAGCAAGTCGCTTGCCCTGTTGGTGGAGTGGCACTTCAGATCCCTGCCCTGCAGGCTTGTTGGGGGGCAAGTAAACAGTGAGCCCAAGCTCCACGAGAGGCCACCTGGAAAGTCCTTATTGTTGGACTGAGCCTATGAAAATGCGGTGTACCAGGGAGCTTCAGGTCTCACTGCAGCACCATGGCTGGCTGCACAGTGATTAGAGGCTCTGACTGGCAGTTTTACCTGTGTTTAATTAACAGAAATAGGAAAGGGGGCCGTGGTCACTTGTGGGCCTTCCCAGAGTCTATTAGTACGGAGAAATGTCTGGAGCACACAGACACCAGTGGTGAGCAGCGAGCTGGCATCCACGCAAGTGCTGCACTCACAGGGTGGGCCCACCTGCACTTTTGTCTGGCTTCACAGGGTCTGTCCGGGAGCCCCCTAAAGAAATGGCCCTGTCACTGCCTTACACTGCCACTGCGTTCTCAAAGTGCTCCAGCTTGCGGCAGGGGGCCTCTGCTCAACAACCTTGGGCAGCTGGCAGAGAGCTAGGAAGCCAGGGCCTCCTCCAAGAGGAAATGAGCCACTACTCTTCTAGGAAACAATATCTGGAGTAAGATGGGCTTCAACTTTGTATAGGACAAATACAGGGTGGCCCTGGGGTTTGGAGGAGTTGGCGTGAACACTTCGTATTTTGATGAGGAAAGAGCCCAACCAGTGGAATGACAGCCAGGAGGCACCCTCTGCACAAACACCAAGGCAGGGCCCAGCCAGTCAGCCTCCTGGAGGACCCGTGTGCCCTTTGTGGGCAATGGTTCTCTTTGCTAGGTCAGCATTGGAATCATCTGAGCTGCTTTTTAAAAATTACTGTGGAATTGGCCGGACGCAGTGGCTCACGCCTGTAATTCCAGCACTTTGGGAGGCTGAGGCGGGCAGCTCACAAGATCAGGAGATCGAGACCATCCTGGCTAACTCGGTGAAACCCCGTCTCTACTAAAAACACAAAAAATTAGCCGGGCGTGGTGGCAGGCGCCTGTAGTCCCAGCTACTTGGGAGGCTGAGGCAAGAGAATGGCGTGAACCCGGGAGGCGGAGCTTGCAGTGAGCCGAGATCACACCACTGCACTCCAGCCTGGGCGACAGAGCGAGACTCCGTCTCAAACAAACAACAACAAAAAAATTACTGTGGAATCACAAACCACATGCCCCATGTTCTCACTTGTAAGTGGGAGCTGAATGATGAGGACCCATGGATGCAAAGAGAATAATAGACACTGGGGCCTACCAGAGGTTGGAGGGTAGAAGGAGGGGAAGGAGCAGAAAGAATAACTACTGCAGACTAGGCTTATACCTGGGTGATGAAATAATCTGTGCACCAAACCCCCATGACATGAGTTTACCTATAAAACAAAGCTGCACGCATACCCCTGAACCTAAAAAAAAAGTTTTAAAAAATATAAAATTAAAAAGTAAATTCCTGTACCCAGCTTCACCCTGATTCCCTGCTCCCAGCACACACCTTCTCCATCAGAACCCCTAGGAGGGTCTCACTCAGCCCCTGCCATCAGGCCACAGAGCAGAAGGGCACAGCTGAGGCTCACTGGGCTGTCCCCTGCTCCTCAGGAAGCTGCCCTCATGCTCCAGGTGGAAATCAGGCCCCACCTATGTCTTGACTCAGTTCAGAGTCAAGGGAAACTTAAAAGAGAGATTCAGGGGACAGTGTCCTCTGTCGATCCACATCAGCCTTGCCTCGTCCTTGTCCGCTAGTGAGAAGTCTCGGAATATAAAGAAAAACACGCCTGGGCTATCCCTTCTGAGAGTCTCCAGTCCATCCTCAGAACACACTGACAGTGCATGGTGGCAACGGGGCCAGTTCTGCAGGTGGCTTCCAGGCAGGCAGTCCCTGCGAAGTCCCCAGTCCCATCCTTTGTCCCCACCATCCAGACACTCACATCCCAGTGATCTTAGAAATACTGCTTTCTGTAGGATTTCTTCTGCAACTGAATGACCCAAGAGCCCCGTACTTGGCATTATTATCTTCCTGTTCTGGGCAAGCATTTCCTTGGCCGGGCCGCCCTTCCTGGGAGGCTGTGTACTTACAGCAGTAACGATGGCTCAAACGACATCAGCAACTGCAGCTGCCTCCTGGGGAGGGCCTGCGCCTGCCAGGCATCATCCCACATCCCTGGACACCCCAGGATGACTCCTTTATTAATCTTTTCTCCTGTCCTGTCCTGCTGGTTCTCTCTTGCAGAGCGACTACTCGAGCGACACAGAGAGTGAGGACAATTTCCTCATGATGCCCCCGCGGGACCATCTGGGCCTCAGTGTCTTCTCCATGCTCTGCTGCTTCTGGCCTCTGGGCATCGCAGCCTTCTACTTGTCCCATGAGGTAAGGCCTCCTTGGTCTGTGGCACCTGATGTGCAGGTGTTGACAGGGCAGGGGTGAGGGCGACAATCCCAGCTGAGGAAGAGGAGAAGCGAGGAAGCCCAGACAGCTCCTGCTACAGCTGGGTCAGCCCTTGCCCAGTTGGAGGATAGGCTGGGAGAAGTCAGAGTCAGGGGACCCTGGGGGCCGGGTGGAGGCATTCGGGCTGCCTCACCCCAGATGCATCTGTGTCCTCGCAGAGGCGGGACTGCCTTCTGAAGAGGCCTCATGACCGAAGCGAGTGTCTGCTTGGTAGAAGGCACATGGCCTTTGGGAGGCTGTCCTTCATTTAGGTGCTGGGGTTGTGTGCATGGGGTGACCCTAGTGCCGGGAAACACCAGGCCCAGGTGGGCTACATTTAACTTAATGAGAGAGGAGAAAAGAAGGGTTTTGATTTCCTTGCTAAAGAATCCTTCCTATAAAATAGATTCCAGTTCCACAGCAGCCCCCGTGTACCTGCCCCAGGTGAACGCCCTGCTTGTGGAAATGGCACATCTCAGCATGACATCTGCCGTTCCTCCCCAACATAAGGCTTCTAAAGGTTTCGATTCCCAGCCTTTTTCACTACAGAGCATCCTATTGGTTGCCCCTTATGCAACCTACATTTTGAAAATATTGGAAATATTTTTCTCTAGCAAGTGCAGAGTATTCATTCAGAAATCAGCTATATTCACATTTTTATTAATCAGAGAAAGACATTTCTACTTGCCAATTACAGAGTGAGCTGACGGCGTTACCATGGCCCGCTGCTATCTGCCCAACCAAAAGAGGGAGAAAGGGCGCTCCTCTGCTGGCCCGGGGTGGGGGTGGTGCCGGGCACCCGTGGGGTGTTTTCAGGGAGGGCTGAAGATGCCTCGAAGGTGCAGAGGGTCCCTCTCCAGCTTCTAGGGTTCGGGACCAGGGCTGCACACAACTGAGCCTGGCAGGTGCTTCTTCTGAAACAGATTGCCTGGCTGAGCCCAGCAGTTGCTTCTTGATGGCTTCTGTATTGGTTGGGTTTGTTGGACGAGTGAGAGGAGAATCCACCCTGGCCTTAATGGGGTTTCTGTTTTCCCCTGCACATCTTGAGTGGTGACTGGCCCCTCTTTCTGACATCCAAGGAGGAGCAGGGGAGCGTGGTGGGTGGCCTGTGGTCCTCCTGAGGGCAAGTGCTTCCTGACAGGGCACGAGAAGTTGGGCAGCCTTTGCAGGCAGGGGTGTAGCCGGAGGGGCCCAGTGTGGAAATCTTTATCTGCTGGGGCTAGGCTGAGCAGTTGTTCCAGACCCAGCTTTGATCTTGAGGGTCTGTCCGAGCTTCTCTTGTGACTTCGTCCCATGAATGCCACAGAACCCCTTCTCCATCAGCACAAGCATGGGGTGGGGAGCCTGACTCCTGGGTCTGGCAGGGCCTGGTGGCTGTGGAGTGGAGGCAGATGTGAGTGAACCCTGCTGCAGGATGAGGTGCCAGACTGGGACACACAGGAGCTGGAGAAATGGGTGTGGGCACAGGCCCATGGTGGGCAGAGCCTGCCATGCCACATAAACTGCACCCTGATGCTGCCAATAGACAAGAGCAGTCTTGCAAGGGAAGGACAGATTGGGCCCAGGAGCTGGACAGGTGACATCAAACGCGTCCCCAAAGCCTCCTTTGTACACCCCAGCCCTGCGTCATCTCCATATGGGGAAGAATAAGGACACACCCACCTTCGTGGGGCCCAGCCGCTGAGACATCCATGTAAAAGTGCCACAGAGTGCTGGGTGGATGGAACCCTGGAGAGATGGCAAGGGGCCGCAGGGAGAGGCTGCCTACATGGCCAAAGGAGAGACCAGTCCTTTGTGGTGTCCGTGGTCTCTGCCACTCCATGTGCTCGGATTGACGCCCCAGTCTCTGGTGCAGGGCAAGGTATGGACAGCGTCTCTATTCCAAAGATCATCATTATAATAAAGAGCAAGGCTACAACTGCAGAGACTGTGTCTAGAGTCTTTCTCAGAAAGTAATTTTATGCTGAACACTTTAAGAGCCTCTCAGGCTTGGGTCTGAGAACTCATGGTGTTTGATACGTTAGACAGTGTAGAGGATTTCTATTACTTGGTTAGCTGCAAATGGGAAATGCAGTTTCTATAGCGGCTTCTGATCACTTTTTTGGAGATGAAGTGGAAACATTTTGGGGGGTGGGTGTAGGTGTTGCCTTCACTATGGGCGTAGAGAGGAGTTTTCAGGGCCAATGGCTGCAGCCTCCCTTTTCATTGCGCTTTGAGAATGGATTTCCCTGTGGTAGAACCACAACAGAGAAGAGGGGCTGACACTTTTATAAAGATACCTGTGGAGGTGAGTCCCGTTTGCAGAGCCTGCTTCCACATCCCTTTCCAATCAGAACTCCCTTCCCAGGCAGCTCCCCTTAGTCTGCAGTGGTGGTTCCGGGTGCTGCTGCAGATCCTGGAAACAAGCAGCCCTGCTCAGGATGCCTCAGCCGGCTACCAGGCTGCTGAGCATTCCGTTTGCAGCCCACACTGCAGATGTGTGGTCTCCGGCAGGCCATCGTGGGGAAGCCGGCAGCTGCCAAGGAGAGAGAGTGTGGCACAGAATAGAACAGATGCAATCTGAGAATCCTTGCACTAAATTAAATCAGTGCTTTCCTAAGCGAGGCCACCTGGGAGTGCGAAGCCCAGGACTGGAGAGGGGGAAGCCCGTAACCCTCTCTGCCACAGTGGCCAGCACCTCCTGCCGCCTTGTTGGGTCAAGGGGATGATGCACCTGGGCGAAGAGCATGTTGGTGGAGCCGAGGCTCTCCAGGCCCACAGTGCCATTCACGAGGAAATCTTTGACATCTAAGTGTAACTTTGGGTTTTCTTTCCCTTTTATCTCAGATCATATCACAGTGTACTCTGACAGTCAGGCCGTGTCTGCTCGTTGTCAAAATAACACAGTCAGGCCGTGTCTGCTCGTTGTCAAAATAACTGTTCAGTGAAGTGAAAGGAACATGCCAAGCCATTACAGAAAAACAAAACAACATCTTATGGTAGTTTGATTAAATTGGGCAGTGGAGAAAATGAGGGCAGCCATCTCTAGAATTACGCGCCTCCGATATGTTGTTCTGTCCTGTTGTAGTCTGGTCCCATTTAGCAGGCAACTCTCCCATGCCTCTGTTTCCTGACGCATGCAATGATGTTAACATGATTTCCAGGCTGTGCGGTTAGCTGAGGGTTAGAGATGTAAGGCCAGTGAAAGTCCCCAGGAGGCACCTGCAGAGCAACTGCTGCTGGTCATGCCCTGCTGGAAACCTGAGTTCCCCAGGTGCTGGGGGTCCAGGGGCCAAGGGATGCCTGGAAAGACACAGACATAGCTTTCCCAGGAGATTTGGTTAAGTCTAAAAATGTGTTCATGGGGCCGGGCGCGGTGGCTCAAGCCTGTAATCCCAGCACTTTGGGAGGCCGAGACGGGTGGATCACGAGGTCAGGTGATCGAGACCATCCTGGCTAACATGGTGAAACCCCGTCTCTACTAAAAATACAAAAAACTAGCCGGGCGTGGTGGCGGGCGCCTGTAGTCCCAGCTACTCGGAGGCTGAGGCGGGAGAATGGCGTGAACCCGGGAGGTGGAGCTTGCAGTGAGCCGAGATCGCGCCACTGCACTCCAGCCTGGGCGACAGAGCGAGACTCCGTCTCAAAAAAAAAAAAAAAAAAAAATGTGTTCATGAACTAGCATAACAGTAGTAATCAAAGTGTTAGTGAGGTGGGTAACATTGGCTGACCACCTACTGTGTGCCAACTTCAGCGTTGGGCCATGCACCCTTGCTTCCGGGATGTGGTCCTGGACCCCCTACGCACTTGCTAGAAATACACACTGTCTGTTCCACCGCAGACCTGCTCAGTCAGAGTCTCTGGGGCAAAGCCCAGGAATCTGCATTTTGAGGAGGCCTCCAGCTCCTCGTGGATGCTGCTGCTGTCACCTGGGAGTGGCCGTGGTGACCTGCGCTGCAGTCATGGCTGGGAATCTAATAAGCAGTGGGAAGCTGCAGGATGTCTTTTGGAAGAAATGACCCCGGGTTTTGGTTGTGGTGTGAAAGGAAGAGGGAAGGGAGGGATGCCCTGGGTTCTGATGGTGTTTGGGTGTGAGTAGTGCTGTCTCACATGCATGGTCTCATAGGAGCTCCATGACATGGGTGCTGAAATCAGGGTTCAGTGAGGTTGAGTGATGAGCCTAAAGCCAACATTGGTGAGCAGTAAGCCGGAGCTAGCAAGATGTGTGGGCTTGGAGGCACCTGCCTTCTCTGGGGGAGGCATCTGGCTTGTCCCTGAGCTGTGGGGTGGGGGTGGGTGGGCAGATGAGGGCAGCATGTGGTCTACAACTTCGTTTTGCTCAACAACGTTCCATCTGGTCCCCATTGCAAGCACGCTTTGTAAACCGGTTCATACAGAGGACGGTGTGGGTGTGTGCGATTATGGTGGTGTGGCTTCATCTAGGAACTGACATTTGTGAATGATACTGAGGATAGACATGAATCCCATAATTGGCTGAGTGGCTGCTGTCAGCTAGTTAATGCACACACTTTATCTTATTTAATCTTTGCAGTGAGTCCGGAAGGTGGAAAATTATTACCTCCAGTTTACAGATGAACAAAATTGAAGTTTCAAGGGATTTAATAAGTAACAGATATCACAGAGGTAGCAAGTATGGGCACATGAGGGAAATATTAATATTTCTAACCCTTAAAGCCATATTTTTTGCAATATAGCTTTGACTTTTATCTGTTTGCAAACAAAAATAGAACCACAGTCCTTGCTTCTAAATTCACCATCCCCCCACCCTGTTTGGAAAGGCTGGCAGGGGAGGAAAGCCTGTCTGAGCATGGTATGGCATTGGTCCTCATGGCACTTCACTCCATCCCATGTGATGGGGGCAGCCGGGGACTGAAGCCAGAGCCCTGCCCCAAAGGGAGCACTGGGCCTGGACCTGCGCCGGGCAGGCCCCAGGGTTCGTGTGT